GGGGGATGGTGTAGAGGGAGCTTTACCCTGTATGTAACCCCGTGCTGTCCCTGTGAGGGTGTGATGGGGGATGGTGTAGAGGGAGCTTTACCCTGTATGTAACCCCGTGCTGTCCCTGTGAGGGTGTGAAGGCCGAGGGCCTGTTTGATGTGTGTGTGTGTGTGTGTTTTGAAGGTGTGGTCCTGTGGAGGAGCAGGAGGCTCCAGCGTCAGGCCGTGAGCATGGACGCCCTGGTTTCCCGTGTGGAGAGGGAGCTGGCCGTTGACCGCAGGCAGCTGGGCCCCGGTGAAGGTTGCTCGCTGGTGGCGTACGTACCCACCAAGTGGCTCAGCAGCCTGAAGGAGAGGAAGTTGCTCCCAAGCTGCTGTCCCAGGCCCGAGGGTCTCGCTGATGCCGAGGTGACCAGCTTCCTGCAGCGATCAGTCAGCAAGCTTCCAGCTGGATGGACACGAGTCTCCCTCCAGGTCCTGAGAAAGAGCCGCCTGGCCTACCCTGTGAGCCCCGATCTGAGCCGTGCGACCGGTGGAGCCAGCAGCCTGGACCTGAACTCTGTGTCTGGCTTCATGCAGCACGTGGCCGAGCAGAATTACCGAAACCTGTGGCAGACGACCCGGGGCCAGTCGGTACGTCCTGCTGTGCCTCAGCAGGAGAAACCTGCAGCTCGCTGCCTTGAGGCTGTGAAGGTGGCTCTCAGCCAAGTCTATGGCTGCAGCTTCATCTGGATTGGGGGAGACTCTTCGCGAGAGCCTGGACCACCTCCAGTCCCCATCAGCCGGGAGACCCATCCGAACCTGCTTCCTGCCGAAGCCCTGCTGGAGTCAGCCCAGCTCCTGTACGTGATCCAGCCGTTCTGTCAGTACTCACTCAGGGATGTGGTGACCTACAGCCCTGCCAAGCTGGCTAACAGCAATGCCAAGGTGCTCTTCCTCCTGTACCAGGTTCTCCAAGCCATGCAGGCCGCTCACCGGGCAGGGCTGGCCTGTGGCAGCCTGTCCCTGACTCACCTCAAGCTGGATGAGAGGCTCCGTGTCCAGCTGCAGCTCAGCCTGTTGGACTACGAGAGGCCGGAGGCCGGGGAGGAAGCGGGTGACCAGGGCAGTGAGCGGGCAGCCTTCAGTGGGCAGCTGGAGGAGTCGTCTCTGCCAGCGCTCCTCACGCACTGGGTACATGGGCGAATTAGTAACTTCACCTACCTGATGGTATTGAACAGACTGGCAGGCCGCAGAGCAGGTGACCCCAACTACCACCCAGTCCTGCCCTGGGTGGTGGACTTCACCGTCCCTTATGGAAAATTCCGGGATCTCCGCAAATCCAAATTCCGGCTCAACAAGGGAGACAAACAGCTGGATTTTACCTACGAGATGACCAAGGAAGCTTTCGTAGCTGGAGGTCAGACTGGAGAACAGCTTCACGTCCCTCACCATATTTCCGATGTCCTTTCCGATATCACCTTCTACGTTTATAAAGCTCGGAGGACCCCCCGCTCCGTGCTCTGTAGTCATGTCCGATCCCAGTGGGAAGCCAACGAGTATCCTGCAAGCATGGAACGGATGCAATCCTGGACCCCAGATGAATGTATCCCCGAGTTTTACACTGATCCCACCATCTTCCAGTCCATCCACCCTGACATGCCTGACCTGGATATTCCAGCCTGGTGCAGCTCCGATCAGGAGTTCATCGATATCCACCACAAGCTGCTGGAATCGAAGGAGGTCTCTCTCAATCTGCACCATTGGATTGACTTGACCTTTGGATACAAACTGACCGGCAGGGAAGCTGTCCGAGCAAAGAACGTTTGCCTGCACCTCGTGGATAGTCACACCCACCTGACCAGCTTTGGAGTCGTGCAACTCTTCGACCAGCCACACCCGTCTAGACTGTGTGGGGGCAGCTGTGTCCCACCACATCCTGCACCCCCCATCAGCCTGAAGGAGGCAGCAGAGACCCAGCCGCTGGATGTGCTGAATGACCTGGTGGTGGAGACTGTGGGCTCGGAGGGGCAGGGACCCGGCGATTGTTTGAAGGAGGAGGATCTGGAGGAGGGGACGGAGGCACTGGATTCCCTGTCTGCCCCAGGAAAGCCTTCGGAACACTCCCCTCCCGCCACCGTCTGTAACGTGTCGATGGCGGATTGCCGAGCTCCCAGCAGCAAAGGGAACCGTAACCGAGGCACAGCTCCTCAGGAGCTCCTCGAGGCGAAGATCCAACTCCCCGAGGGTTTCAATCCTCTGCAGCCTCTGGAAGAACTGGAGAAACTCGACAACTTCCTGCTCCGTGGGCTGTACAGTGAGCTGCCAGAGGTTGTACTCCAGGATCAGGATCCTCAGCCCTCCTTCTCCCAGTTTGTCCAGAGGGACATGCAGGCGTTCGGGATCCTCATCGCTGAAATCTTCTTTGCTCAGCGGCTGCGAGCTCAGGCACCGGACGCTCCTCTGTGGGATCGTTTCCTGGCTGTGCGGAAGCTGTGTGTCCACCACATGAGAGAGATCGCCTCTCCTCTCCAACACGCTGCCTCAACGTTACTGCAGCTTCACGAGAGCCTCGAGGAGTTAGTGAAGACTCCAGGCCAGGGCGATTGGAGCAGCCTGTTTGAGTATCGAGCTGTCTGTGAGGGGTTACCACCCCCCAGCCCCGGCCAGCTGCTCAGCCCCTGCTGCCCCACCATCCCCTTCCCTCGTTACTTTAGCCCCCTTCACCGGTTTGTCTGCACTTACTATTCACACTGGGCAGAGGATGGGGACCAGGGCCGTGATTTTGTCTTCGCTCTCTGGCAGCAATTAGATCAACTCCTGGAGAAGATGCAGCCAGAGGGCCTGGAGATTCTCCTGCCCTTTGTCCTCGCTCTCATGTCCAATGATTTAACAGCAGTCTACACTGCCTGGTATTTCTTTGAGCCCATTTCCCGTGCTCTGGGACCTCGTAATGCCAACCGGTACCTGTTGAAGCCCTTGTTGGGGGTCTATGAGAAACCCGGCTACATCTGTAGCCGTTTCTACCTGTACACGGATTGTTTTGTTGTTCAGCTGATTGTGCGCCTGGGCCTGCAGCCATTCCTCAACAGCCTCCTGCCCCATATCCTCCAGGTTCTCACTGGGCATGAGGGGCCCGAGGAAGGCCGGGTACTGGAGGGAGCAGGGGATGATGAGGAAGGTGTGTCGGACATGTCAGCGTCCTACTCCAACGCTGAGCTGAAGGCTGCAGGACAGTGTGACTCTTCCAGTTTCATCGACTTCTCCTCAGGCATCAGCTTCAGTGACCAGGCCGAGCTGACAGAGAACGAGGAATTCCAGAATGGGATCTTCCTGAGCGACCGGGAGCAAGAGTCTGTCAGCTTGGGGAAGCTGAGTGATAAGAGCAGTAACAGTGACTCTTCGGCTGAGGACCGAGGAACTGACTGGGATTCCAAGGACAGGTTGAGCCTCCGTTCCGTGGACAGTCATCAGGAGGTCAAACTGGCTGAGAGTCTCCTTGTACAGCCTGGGGATGAGGATGAGGAGGAGGAGGAGGACGATGAGGGAGATGGGGACGATGAGGGGGCAGCTCCTGAGGACACTGTCTTCTGCTCTCTGCCTGATCCTAAGGACAGGGCCGCCCTCCCGAAGGGGAACGGTGTGGATGAGGAGGAAGAGGAGGAAGAGGAGTTGCTGAGCGAGGGGAAGGAGCAGAAGATCCTGTTTGGTGAGTTGGAGCACTGGGATTAACCTGCAGAGCCTGCCACCCTGGAGCCCAGGGGATGTGGGGGTGATAGCTGAGCCTGGGGAATGGGTGTGGGTGTGGCCCACCTGCCCTCCAATATATCCCCACCACAGTGAGCACCAGGTTGGGGGCAAGCAAGGAGATGGGTTGTGGGCCCAGCGGGGGTGGGGGTCCTCGGGGCGGGGGGTGACGGGCCCAGGGTGACGGGGCGGGGGGTGACGGGCCCAGGGTGACGGGCCCGGGGTGACGGGCCCAGGGTGACGGGGGGGGGATGGACCCGGCGGTGGGGGTGCTGGGTCAGGGCGGTGGTGGGACCCCTGGGGCGGTGGGCAGGGGGCAGGGTTTGGGTCAGGGTGAGAGGTCACAGAAGGATCATGGCGGTTTACTGTGAACTGTGCCGCCTCCTGAAGCTGATTGGTTGGTTTGTTGCTATGCAGACACTGCCTGTAAGACGGTGAAGTGGTTGACTGCAAAGCTGGGACCCACCCTGAGCTCCAGGTACATCGTTCGGAATCTCCTGCGACTGCTTACAAGCTGCTACTTGGGTAATGTAGCCCTTTCTGATCCAGGCCTTTCGTGAGCCGTGATTGTCTTGGTTTCAGCAAGCAAATAGGTGTAGGCCATTCAGCCCCTCAAGCCTACTCTCCCTTTCAATACGATTGTGGCTGATCTGTCTTTCAAATCCCCCACACCCATCGATTCCCCTTCCTAACAGGGATCCATCCATGACCTCCTTAAAAATATTCACTGCCCTCCCCACACCCCACCTGCTGAGGCAGTATGTTCCAAAGTCCCACGACCCTCTGAAATAAAAACCTCCCTCTCCTCTCTGCCCTAAAAGGGGTGACCCTCATTTTAAACCAGCGTGACTCCCTTCCCCTACCCACCCACCCCCCGCGTTCAGGACTGACCCACACGAGGATACAACCTTCCCACAATCCCCTTGGTGAGACCATTCCGGACCTTACACACTTCCGTCAGT